AATGCACTTGCTGCTGTTTCTGGAGCCCAGTTCCAAGGTGAGGTACCCAAGGCGGACCTAGGCAAATGCCCCCCTAGTCATGGTCGCTACATGATCTTCCAGAGACAACCGTGAATCCAGAAGGACATCCAAGCTGCGGGCCCCTGATGGTCAACGATGGAATATCTCGATTGGACCCAGATGCTGGTACCCACAGCCACTCGGTCTTGGCGGGGTTGAGTCGGAGCCTGTTCCTCCCTATCCAGGTCCGTACCGCTTCCAGGCAACGGGACATCACGTCGAGGGCATCACTAGGCTGGTTCGGGGTGGATATAAAAAGCTGGGTATCATCAGCATACTGATGATACTGCACCCCAAAACCACAGATGATCTCCCCAAGCGGCTTCATATAGATGTTGAACAGGAGAGGCGAGAGAACCGACCCCTGGGGCACCCCACAAGTGAGGGGCCTCATTTGGGGGAAGACATACAAAAAACATTTCCTTCTCCCTCACACCCATATTTGTCCATTTTTTTTTTATTGTGCTGCCACATTTATAGCAGCCAAAGAGAGATGTCAGCATCAGCTGGACAGCCCCAGTTTCACCACACCACTCTAGGCATCGACATCGCTCTCCACCTCTCCCACCCCACCCCACCCCCAAAAAGAAAGATGAGATGCTAATTTGGCACAGGGTTAAAGACTGTGTCCTAGGTTATATATATGCATGTATCCATAGTAACAATTATACTTGTTGTGCTCTCTCTCTCTCTCTCTTTATCTATATATAATCTATCTATTTATCTAATCTATATCTCTCTCTCTTTCTATCCATTTAACTTTTTAAAAAAAATGTTTTTAATGGTTTTTATGCTTCATGGTGTATGTAGCCCAGAGTCATAATTCCATATTATCAGAAAAAAACAACACACAACTGAATTCTTATCACAAAAACCCTTTGAGGGGGGTAAATTCATGCATATGTAAAACTTGGGAATCCTCTGTAGTATTCTGTCAGAGAATATGAGGGAAATAAGGACTGCCAAATTCTGCTGTGGCGCATTGTGCATATTCTGAAATTTGCTTCATTTAGCAGTTTGCCCTCCCAATTAGTTAGAAGGCTAGGAGGTAGTGTCCCAATGTATTTCAGGGATCCAGATTGTGAGAGGCTGACATGCAGGATTTTAACAGATTTTTGCATCCGAATTAGTCCAGAGAATGGGTGACTCTTGATTGATCCACATAATTAGTGCTGACATTTCTGACATCAGATGAAAGTATTCTTGCATTTGATAATATGCAATTATCAAGAGCCTTCAAAGGCTCTTGCTGTCTGTGCCAGCTACTGAATCTCAGTGATTCTTTCTGCATATTGTCTTCTGCTCTTTGTTTAGGACAGATCTGTCTGAAGGAAAAGATGACCGTGATAATGATAAAAAGGGGTACAGATCCTAGAAAATACCAGTTGCTTTAATATGTATAATGACTATAAATTTAAAAGATGACAGATGTTGAAAATGGAAAATCCGGATTGAATCTAATTTCAACCATAGTATCTCACTGGGTACTTTTTGGCCAGTCAACTTCTTTTGGGGTTGTTGCTGTGGGAAAAAAATTAGCACCTGAAGGAAAAGTGGGATATAACTCTAATAAATAAACACTAAATTTGCATGTCTGTGGAGGTTCTCAGTCATCCAGCTCATGGTTGTCCCAAAGGTGCTTTAAAAAAAAAGCCACTCAACTTTTTTATTAACACTCAATAACCACCTGGGGGCTAATTGGTACCCTCAGAGTCATGTGAATCAGAGGGTGGAACTATCATGGGACTGCTGAAGGAGATAAGGAGTCTTATCCCTTCCCTCTATTGTGGGAGGGCTGTTCATTTTTGATGTAGATAGTTTCTTTGACTTTTCTTCCAAATCAGTGGGTCTCTCTTTCCAGAATGTGAACCTTGCTATCTTCAAAGGAGTGGCCATTTTCTTTCAGGTGCAGACGGACTTTTGAATTCTGCCCTGATTCATTGGGGCCCTCAGAATGCTAATGACTGACTGACTGACTGCAAATAATATGCTTTCCATTCCCTGCTACTTAGTTAGAACTAAAGAAGCTTCTTGGATGAGAGGTGAAACGTCTTCAAGAAAAAGAAAAATCAAGAAAGTCCAGTTGCCTGTTGTGCATATTCTGAAATTTGCTTCTGTTAACAAAATAAAAGTGGGATAAAAAAAATATCTTTAAAAAATCATATCTTTCTGGTTTCTTGTTTTAACCAAAACAGAAATTTTCTTTTCAATACAACACCCCCCCCCCCCAAAAAAGCTGGAAACTCCATCACTTGCAGTCTTTTGATTGTAAAAAATAAAAATGGGAAGAATTTAGCTTCCTTGATACAACCACATTACCACATTGGACTTTCTCCTTTACTTTTTGTGTCTTTGGAGACTCTCAATCATCCAGGGCATGGTTGTCCCAAAGGTGCTTTTCTAAAAGGCAACTGGACTTTATTGATTTTTTCCCCTTGAAACATTTTGCTTCTCATTCAAGAAGCTTCTTCAGTTCTGAACTGAAGAACAGAACTGACCGAACTGAAGAAGCTTCTGCTCTGAAATGAGGGGTCATTGGTGTTCTCTGAGCTTGGTTGCTTTCTTACAGACGATTCATTACCCAAACTAGGCAACCTCATCAGTGTTAGTAAGGAGTGGGATTGTCTCTCCTTTTGTATTCTAGTGGCTGAACCTGTCAGTGTTGGTGGGAATGATCTTGGAGGTTCTTTGGTTGGGTTGTTTATTGTTAGCTTGTTTGGCAGTTCCTTGATTGGGGTATTGTTCACTTCTTGATTGTTAGTCTGATGTTAATCTTCATGTTAATCGATGCTCATCGGCATGTTGATTGTTGGTGGGGAGGTGTTTTGGTCTTTTTGTTCCTTTTTTGGCTTGTTGATTGTCTCTTTTGCACAGTGTGTAGATGTTGTTTATGTCTATGTGTTTATTGATGAATGATTTCTCAGAGTGCGAGGCTTCAGGGCAGGGGTGAAATCCAGCAGGTTCTGACAGGTTCTGGACAACCAGTAGCAGAAATTTTGAGCTGTCTGGAGAACCGGCAAATACCACCTCTGGCTGGCCCCAGAGTGGGGTGGGAATGGAGATTTTGCAATATCCTTCCCCCAGGAGAGGGGAGGGATTGGGGATTTTGCAGCATCCTTCCCCTGGAGTAGGGTGGGAATGGAGATTTTGCAGTATCCTTCCCCTGCCACGCCCACCAAACCACACCATGCCCACCAAGCCATGCCCACAGAACCGGTGGTAAAAAAATTTGGATTTCACCATTGCTTCAGGGATTCTTTAGTGCTTTTGAATTTGGCTTGGTTTAGGACAATCATGATTTCTCAGTAGAAACTATGGTTAAGAAACCATATGTTGTGAAATTAAAGAGTTTTCATCATGTCTTCTGACTGCAGAATGCATCCACGAACAATAACTAGCAGTTTGAAGTATGAAATCTAAGCTTCTTCTTGCCTCCCCTATTATCTCTAACATTCCTAGAACTCTAGCATTTCAATGGAAAGTTAGCCAGAGATATATTTTTGGGTTTCTTTTTCGATACCGTAACAGTCTGAGTAATGGAATGGAAGCATGATCTTGGGGGAAGAAAGGACACATGCTATACCTTGGAAGCAATCAGACAAAAGTGGCAGAGCCCACAGTTGCTTATGGTCAGAGAAGGACTGAGGATGGTTAGCTCTATTGGCTCAAGTAGTTTAATGAGGAGGTGGAAAGTTTGTGCCTTCATGCTTGCAAGATTCTGTTAATGTAGCCTTACATTAAGTAGAATTAGTTTATCCTGTTGTGTTTCCTGTTTGGTTTGCTGGAAGGGCTGACACAGTCTGTAAGGATAAATTTTCTGACAGATGTCAGAAGTGCCTGAGCATTATAAGAGATGATGGCAGATTTATTTTTCTCTCATTCTGGTGGAGAGTTAAGATGTGATAAATGTTTCATTTGTATTAAATCATGAGTGCCTGGCAGTATTTGAATCCCATGATTTCCAGCTGTTTATGTGTACATTATACATCCATTAAGGTGGAGCAACTACACTTTGTGATAGTCGAGATTTTGGTAGTAAAGAATCTGGAACTTGCTAGATGGCAGCAAAGAGACAACAAATCACTCTATGCCAGTGATGGCTAACCTTTTCCGGACCGAGTGTCCAAAGCGCACCTGAACCCCCAAAATGCAATGTGCCGGCGGCCCCCGCTGCCCCCTGCTCCCCGTGCATGCGTGCATGCCCCCATGTGCCCCACCCCTCACACATGTGCACACGGGCCTCCCACATGTGCCCCGCCTCCCTGCATGCATGGCAGAGACCTGAAGACCAGCTGGCCGGCGGAAGGTGCCCGCACATGTGTGGCAGAGCTGAACTGGGGCAACGGCTCGCGTGCCCACAGAGAGGGTGCTGTGTGCCACCTCTGGCACGCGTGCCATAGGTTCTCCATCTGTGGAGCATCTCTGTGCTATCATCTATTGGTGATCTGTTTGCAGCAAAGATCTGGTAATCCTATATTACTATAAAACCTGGGAGCTGTCCATAACTTTTAAAGGATTAGTTTTTCAAAGTCTTCTTCCTTGCTGCCTTTGGACAAGATTCTCAAACTTTCTTTCTTTCTTTCTTTCTTTCTTTCTTTCTTTCTTTCTTTCTTTCTTTCTTTCTTTCTTTCTTTCTTTTCTTTCTTTCTTCCTTCCTTCCTTCCTTCCTTCCTTCCTTCCTTCCTCCTCCCTCCCTCCCTCCCTCCAAGACTGGGGATTCGGGTGCAAAAGGGGGCGTGGAGAGAGCACAGAGTGGGTAGATAAGTAAAAAAAGTTCTCTCAGTTGCTGTCAGATAAGAGGATTTTCCCAATGCTGGAGTGTATACGCAGCGTTCCGAAAAAGGACATTCAGGTAAGTCAATGTCCATTCTCCTTCCTCTAGTTTCTTATGCCTTCTAAGGGCTACAATCTATATATCCAATAGAAATGGTTCCAGCGAAGTCATTGAATGTATGAGATAAGATAATGGTGGTGTGATTGTTTTAGAAGTCTAGAATCTATAAAGTCTTCAGCTTGTCTCAAACACTGTTTTAGTAAGCTAATCTTTCAGCCTCGCCAAGCTATCTGTGAAAAGAAAAGAAAGAAAAGAATAGGAAGACAAAGTGTATGGATCACAATAAAGAACAACTTCAAAAGCTCTTACTGACTTCTTAAACTTATTTGGCAAGGACTTTCAAAACATATTGTTTAGTTTTAATATTACTAGAAGAATGAATTTTAAAACAAAGCAATGCAATATGAGCATGTTCATTCATTTAAAAGACATACATACATCATGCACTATAAACATGGAAAATTTACAAAAAAAAAAGGAAAAACATTAAATTATCATAAAAACTCCCAGTGTCCATCAAAACAGCAGATCCTTACATATTAATCCTTACTGAGTTTTCAATTTCACTTTTCCCATGCTAGATCCTGCTAGATGCCAACATTTTAGGGAAGATAAAATGATAAAACAGGTAGATACCCTCAGGGAGAGGCAGTCCCACAAATAGGTTGGCCCTGAGCCATTCAGGGCTTTAAACATGATAACCAGAACCTTGAATTGCATTATAAAAGAATCTGGAAGTTAGTGCAGCTCACACAACAATGGTATGACATGGACAAATTGTGGGGTACTTAAAAGTTTCACTGCATTCTGGACCAGTTGTAATTTCCAGATGGTCTTCAAGAACAGCTCCATGTAGAATGTGTTAGAGTATAGGCAGACCTCAACGTACGACCATAATCTGATGCTAAGCGAGACAGTTAAGTTCATTTTGCCCCATTTCATGACCTTTCCACAGCTGTTAAATGAATCACTGCAGTTGTTAAGTTGGTAACAAGGTTGTTAAGCGAATCTGGGTTCCCCATTGTCTTTGCTAGCCAGAAGTTCACAAAAGATGATCACATAACTCTTGGACACAAATACATGCCAGTTGCCAAGCATCTGAATTTTGATCACGTGCCCATGGGGATGCTGCAGTGGTCATAAGTGTGAAAAACGGTCATAGGTCACTTTTTTCCAGTGCTGTTATAAGAATCATAAGGCACAACACTTAATGATAGTCATAGGGTACAAATAAGCAATCAGGAAACAATATCAATATAAATCATAAGGACACAAGGAACAAAATTACAGTCGTACAGTCATAAGTGGAAGGAGATGGGTGGTGGGAACAATGAGAAGATTAATAGTAGTGCAGACTTAGTAAATAGTTTGACAGTGTTGAGAGAATTATTTGTTTAGCAGAGTGATGGCATTCAGGAAAAAACTGTTCTTGTGTCTAGTTGTTTTGGTGTGCAGTGCTCTATAGCATCGTTTTGAGGGTAGGAGACTAAATCTCTGTTCCTGTTGACCAACTCAGATTTAGAGCCTTGGTGGTACAGGGGATTAAGGCACCCTGTTATTAAGCTGGTTATTAAGACCAGCTGCCTGCAATTACTGCAGGGTTCGAATCTCGCCAAGGCTCAAGGTTGACTCAGCCTTCCATCCTTTCTAAGGTAGGTGAATTACCCTGGGACATGTATATTTGCCTTCATTTGAGACTCAGGCCTATTAACCTGGAATTTCTCCAACCTTAGAACTGGAAATCTTTACTTTCTTTTATATTTTAGTTCCAGAATAATGCTAATACATAGAGCATTTCGATAAGACAGTTCCTTTCCCCCGCTGAATTTGCATAAATTTTAAGGGTTCATGGCGAATGGTGGAGGGTGAAAGTTAAAACAAAACTCGCTTACTCGATATTCTGAAGACTTGGTGTTTATGAAGAAATGTCAGCCTGAATAATGAAAAACTTTGTTAGGTTCTCCTACTTGATGACTGAGAGGGGATTTTATTAATTAGTTCATTACAGATAGCTATTCGAGCTTTTCTTGTTCTTTTTCCCTTTCATTATGGAGCAGTAACTCAGCACAGGAAAAAGAAAGCGGCTAATGATTTATGGGGTATGCTTAGATAGGCAACAAAACATCTCAGTTAAATGGATAATTTATGTATAAATAAAAAGGAAGAGACAGGTTTTTATAGATCCAATGGTACAAAAGGCAGTAAATTAGCACTTGTTACAGCCTTGCATAACGTTTGAAATAAATGATGTGTGCAAGGAGGGGTTCGTTTTGATTTCTGGTCCCTTGATTCACTCCCTCCACCCTCCCCTTAGCATCCTAGCAAAATATAACAATTCCTAAATGGATTGAATAAAATCCTAAAAAGCTGCTGAGTTTGTTTAGTCTGTAGAGATTCTCAGTCATCCAGGTTGTCCCAAAGGTGCTTTTTCAGGAGGCAACTGGATTTTTTTGTTTTTTTCTTTTGAAGATGTTTCACTTCTCATCCAAGAAGCTCCTTCAGCTCTGACAGGATAGTGGGGAATGGAAGGGTTTATATTCCTTGCAGACAGCTGGACATTTGCATCCTTTTAGGAGTTGAGTTCTTTTGTTCAAATCTTCTCTGGAGGTCATGAGTTTCTGTGGCAATCAAAACATTGCTTAGTACAGGAGGCCCTTAATTTACCAACATTCGTTTAGCGACTGTTTGAATTTACAATAGCTCTGAAAACAGTGGCTTATGACCCTTGCTCACACTTACAACCAGTTGAACATCCCCACAGTCGTGATCAAAATTTGGGCGTTTCTCAACAGTTGTATATTTAGGACCGTTGCAGCATCCCAGGTTTGTGTGATTTCTATTCGTGATTTCCCAGCTGGCTTCTGACAAGCAAATTCAATGGGGGAAGCCAAATTTGCTTAACGACGTGTTTCACTTAACAGCTTCCTCGATTCATTTAACAACTATGGCAAAAAAAAAAAAAGTCATAAAATCAGGCAGGGCTCACTTAACAGCTGTCTTGCTTAGCAACAGAAATTATGTCTAGTTGTGGACCACCTATATTGTTAACCTGAAAAGCAGTTCTTTTCTGTATTGTATCTTTTGTAAAAGAGAAATACTGTTTTACACAGCTACAAAGAGCAGTGTTTTGGGGAAGGTTAAAATTTTTTTGGAAGCATGATATAGCTAGTAGTCATATTCATGGAGGCCAGTCACAAACTGTCCATTTATTGAAATGAAGCTGGCTCTCTAGATTAGAGCGTGTTTCCCATTCTGAATTAACTTCACTCTTTTTTTTTTTTGGGTGTGGGGGGTATTAATTAGTGCATTGTTGGATGAAGTACTGTGTTAGAGCCCTATTTTTTCCATTTGTTAATAACACGTTCTATGCAGGGACCATAAACATTCTTGAAGATAATTTGCTATTCATCAAGTCAGTTTTAATTGTCTGCCCATTCTCAAGTCTTCCTCAATTGGGGTCATCCATTATAGCTTCTGCTCTTTGGGAATGATAGCAATTGCCAACAGATTTGGAGTTGGGCAAATTGAGAAAAAGTAGTTTTACCTATTCTTGGGCGTATATTCATTTATAGATAATAATCTGGTGCTTTTTAAAATGAGCTTTCTTTGTACGTGTTAAGTCACAAACCTAGTAAGTGAGCCTCTATACATTCATGCAAAGAGTTTTTCCATTAGGTTTGCTTGATATCACATTAATGTCCTTCAGCCAAGTTTTGAGAGGGTGTATGGCATTCTATTAAGAGAGTTAGCTGGTTAGCAGAATTTAGTAATGTGGAATCTCCTTCAAGCTTTAAAATGACTAGTCTAGAGTAAAGGAGGTCTAGGGGTGACATGATAGCGGTATTCCAGTATTTGTGGGGCTGCCACAAAGAAGAGGGGGTCAACTTATTTTCTAAAGCACCAGAGGGCAGGACAAGAAGCAATGGATGGAAATTAATCAAGAAGAGAAGCAACTTAGAACTAAGGAGAAGCTTCCTAACAGTGAGAAGAATTAACCAGTGGAGTGACTTGCTTTCAGAAGCTGTGGGTACTTCATCACTGGACGATTTTAAGAAGAGACTGGACAGTTATTTGTCTGAAATGGTATAGGGCACACATGGCCCTATAGGTCTGAAATGAACCTATGGCACACATGCCCGAAGTGGCATGCAGAGCCATGTTGCCTGGCATGTGTGGCATTGCCCGTTCCTCTTCCGGGCTTCTGGCGCGCATGAGCATGCAATGATCAGCTCACTTTTGTGCATGTGACAGTGCCAGAAACCTGAAGAGCTGGTTTTGTTTCCATGTGAGCATGCGCGCTGGAAACTGGAAGTACCTTATCCGGTGCGTGCATGCCCCCTGGGCAGCTCCTCTTCCTGGTCCCGGCCCTGACAAGTGCACATGAAGTGGTCCCTTTTTGGCACTTGGTGCCACCCGTGCACGCTCCCTTTTCGGCACTTGGTGGCAAAAAGGTTCGCCATCACTGGTATAGTGTTTCCTGCTTGATCAGGGGTTGGACTAGAAGACCTCCCAAGATCCCTTCTGACATACAAAATAAAAGTTAATAGCCTTTTGTTTATGTCTGGTTGTTGTTTTTTTTTTTTTATGCCAATCAGCAATGGCAGAAGCCTAGAAGATTTAATTGATATCTTCATTTGACAAAAAAGTGCAGAAAGTCAACTTGTTTGATTTTTATAAGGCTATTCCTGTGTTTTCTTTTTATTAGTATTGTGTGAGAGAAATTGCTTGGGAACTGAACAACATCAACCACCTTTAATTCAGCCGTTCTTAGTTATATTTGACTCCAGTCTCTTAGAAATAGCTTTGTAAAGAGAACCTTTTTATGGTAGGCAAATTCCTCTGAAATAACTTGCTTTCTTTTAGCCTTTAGAAAAGCATTGGATACATGACTTATTGGATAATTTGGATAATTTTCTGAGGGAGCCTTTTTAACATCTAATTTTTTAAAAATTGAACTTAATCTGTTGTACTGTTGCAAACATTTGGATGTTGGTGTCTTATTTATTATTGCTCATACTGTGTAAAAATAGATGTTGTACATTTCCAGAGACTTTAAAGCTGAACAGAAGAATTCTGGGAATCGTAATTTAACATGTCTGGATAGCATCAGGATAAGAAAAACAAACCTGAGAAGAATGAACTGCCTCTGATCTTGAAGGGACAATGGCTAGGGATTCTTCAAAACAGCAAACAAATTTGCAAAGCCCACACCTTTTCCTCTAAACTTCCTTGAGAAAAAACTTTTTTCCCCTTGCATCAACAAGTTTGCAAATTCCCAAGAATGAATTCAGGTTTGTCTGTCTCTGGTGTGCAGAGCTGACTCATCACCAATTATATGGTGTTCTGCTGGGGATAAATGTTGTTTATAGAAGATGATTTAAAAGGGAAAGGAAAATGCTTGATGCAGAGAAGTTCAGGACAATGTGCCAAGCAGAGCTGTGGGACTTTAGTATTTGTTTTTGTAAAAGGGGGTGAAGAAAGGTCTTCCAAATTTAGAGATGGGGAGTTAGTACTGACTCCTGGCAATTTTAACCATCACAGTCAATGTTGGGAATTGCAAGCCGGTGATATTGGGAATATCACAGGTTTTTCAATCCCTGCCCTACATCAATGCTACACTGTGGTC